TCTCCGCGCCTTGCCTCCGCTCCCACGGTCGCGTCTCTCTGCTCCGCGCCGCGACCCGCCGGCATCGTACGGCACCCCGAGCCCCGCAGCACCCTCCCGCGCTCCGAGACCGCCCTCTCCCGGCTATGACAGCAGTCCTTCCACTTCTCCTAAGCGTTGCGTAGCCAGCCTCAGCTCGAGTCCATGGGACATTTCCGTGACAATTTTTGCAGACCTCGCCGTACTGAAAGACAGCTTCTATATGCTTGCCATCCTCCCTGCAAGCCTATCCGTTTTCTTCTGATATGGTCTATAAAGTCCCTGCAGCCCTCTAGCATTACTGGCAACCCATCTCATGTAGGCTCATGTGCTCCCCACAAATGCAGAATAATTTATCACTTGATTGTGACATTCCTTCACTCCCAACCCCCGTATCATCATTTCTATAATATCATACTTCCAGCACTCTCAGAAAGACCACAAGAATGTAGCCACTTACCTAGATACTGCTACAACCTGTCCTACAGCCCTTAATGTCCAAAAATTCTATTCCTTTTTTTTTTTTTCTCCCTCTTCCTGCAATCCTGGATAGTTTAGAGATTCTTCTCTAAACTTAAAAGACATGCTTCATAACTCTTGTGTCATTACATCCCCCATGTACCAATTTAAGCAACTGAGAATGAAAAGATGCCCTTTAATCCTCTCTCTAATCCTTTCCTTTCCCTATATCTTCAGTTCCCCTGTAGCCTGTTACACGTCCTGTACCCTTTTGGAGACCTCTGGGAACCCTAAGGTTCTTCTGCAAAGCCCCTGTATACTCCTTCCTCTGCAAATACTCCATAACTTTAGCGACGTAATGAACTTGCTAAATTGGCTAATAGATACATAAACTGAGACAGGAGGAAGTGCTGTCTTACGTCCTTTGACAAATGCCACAGTAGTGCCCAGTCTGGCATGATTTTGATATCCTGTGGAAAGTGCTATCGGACTTCCTAACTAGCTTCTATGCCCTGCATGCTAATGAAGGACTGTCTCATTAACACCTAAGTAACCTTCAAAGACCCCAGACTGTCTCAACACAAAGGTAACAGTCGCTAAAATAAGTTTGCTGAAGCCCTCTCATGGCCCCTGATAACCTTCATAAACCTCTTTTAACCCTCTAGCTTTCTATATAGTGTGTCCGCATGCTGGGAATATTGTGATTAAGGACTAATGTTTAAATTAGATGTGGTATTTAGCTAAAATACCCTTTGTAGGACTATTTTGTATGGTAGCAAGCAATACAAATGCTCATTCAAGTAACTTGTTTGATTTATAATCTTTGTTTGGTGGTTACTTAGGACAATATTCTAAATACTGTGCTTTTTAAATTAATGTATTTATTTGATTTTAGTTTAGTTACAAAACATAATATAATTTGCCAGGTATTCCACTGTATTTTATTAGTAATGCATCTGTCATAAAAAAATGAAGTCACTTGTATACAACAGCTAAAGAGTAAATTGTGCATAGGAACTAAAACTGTATGCAGGTACATTTGTACAATTTTTCACGGGCTATGTGCACTGAATTGTCAAGTGCCCTGTTAATACTGTAAAAATGTGCCTCCAATAAGATAAACTTGTAACACAGTTTAATTTTTTTAGGTATCTAAAGGAATTTAGGACAGAGCAGTGCCCCCTATTTTTGCAGCACAAGTGTGCCCAGCACAGACCATTTACCTGTTTTCATTGGCATTTCCTAAATCAGCGTCGTCGTAGACCTATACGAAGGCGTGATGGGACTTTTAACTACAGTCCAGATGTTTATTGTACAAAATATGATGAGACTACAGGAATCTGCCCAGATGGAGATGAGTAAGTGATTTCTTTCAGTCCTAGGTGTTTATAGTATTATCAATGACGTTAAGGAAAGATGCTAATTTCTCCTTAGTGAAAATGATCAATAGACTCCTGCTGCAGTTTATTTGAAAACAGATTTCTATAAGTGATTTGTCAATTTTTGGCACATATACTTTTATATAAGCATGTATTGTTCAGGCCCTCATAGAGTTAGAACTATGATTTTGCATTGTGACTATCTTTAAAGCGTAACGTAAGAAGCTGGTTTTCTGCTAGTATTGTTCCTGCACATTTGTGCTAGTATTGTTGCTGCACCTTTTTTTTTTTTCCAGTTGTGCTTCCTTTTTCTCCTGACAACTTTGAAATTGACCAGTAGGTGTAAACCGTGCTGTGTAGAGGTGGCTTCAAGATTTTAAACTTCTGTAAGTTTTGTGAAGATTGATGGGTAGTAGAGGAGAATGACTGTTTTGTGATGCTTTCAGTGAGAAAAAGCAAAGGAAGGAGTTCACTGTTAGTTGTCTGGCTAGCCTGTTAGTGTTCGCATTTCCATGGACGTGTGTCTCTTCTAGCTAAAGGGAGACTTGGGGAGGGGTGGAAGCTTTGTGGAGATGAGGATGAGCAAATGGTACAGTATCGCAGGCAGGCATATATAGAGGAGCTGGGTATATTGTGGTCATATGTCAGAGGAGCTACCTTCATCTGCAGTGATGGAAGCAAGGAAGGACTTCTGACAAAAAACATTTGCAGGAAAACAGCCAGGAAATATGTAGTTATGCTGGTCACCTGTTTTAAAAATTGAAGATTAATTATTTTGGTTACTGTAGTGTATAGCAGCACTTGTCACAGATCAGGTATCTTTGTGTTATAGGCTGTAGTCACAGAAGAGAAAGGTGGATTTTTCCCAGAGGCTTTACAAACTAAATGACAGAGATAAGAGAAGGTAAACAACAAAAATGCACTAGGCAGCATGACAATATTGAGTACCATGCCTAAGCAATATAAACAGCAAAAAATGCCTCTGAGGGATGATTTAAAAGAGAGCAATTAATTACCTTTTCAGGTGTTTGTAAAGTGCTCCTTCCAGTCCTGGGGCAGCATGGGCAGTTCTTCTTTGAAAATCAACAAACAAGAATAATGGATGCTAATGTCATGGATTGGTTGGGGACAAAAATTGATCTTTCGTTATTGAGTGATAGATACTGATTCTACAGGAGGAAAAAGGAAGCAATGTTTTAAAAGGCAAGATTGAATTGTTAGAAACAAATAAGAGGAGATGTTTCAATAACAGATGCGAGATGGAAACCTTTTTGCTGCAATTGGATGGGAAAGGTTCTCCCCTACAGTTGCTGAAGATTACTCCCTGGTTAGGACCCTAAATGACAAACAGGGTGATTATATTGTCTGGCATAATGGCAGTGCAGAGGACTTGCCAGAAATAAGACCACTAGTGAGATTCATACCTCTGTTTTAGCATGTCGTGCTTACAGTTTGAATTAAATGGATAGGTTTAGGAGTTACCAGCAAAGAGGTGGTGGTTTTCAAGTTTGTGTTTTGCAGTGAAATTGCCCAGATGTAGAAGGGGAGCAGGAACCAAGGTTGGAGTCCTGTGAGAACCCTCACCAGGGGCATAAGAGAATGTTGAAGTTGGAAGATATGCTGCAGGAGGGATTGAGAGGAAAATGTGAACGTAACTGAATTCCCATAAACAAGGGAGAACAATGTTTCAAGGGGAGAAAAATTGAGTAAAGGAGACAGTAAATTAAGAAAATGAAGATAAATGTAAGTAGAGAAAATGGAGTCTGCTTTCTTTGACTCAGTTATAAGGGGAGATTATTGGAGATGTTTGTGAGAGAAGTTTCAGCTGAACTGTGGAGGTCTTATTTTAGATCTGATCCTGAGAACTGGTAGCTAGAAATGGCAGTTGACTATTCTAAGTTGATAGCTGATTGAAGTTAAGGTAGAAGAGAAAAGGCATGCAGGGCAAACAGTTGGGAAAGGTGAGAGAAGTCAAAGGTAACTTTCTTAAAGATAGAGGATGCCAGAGCATGTCTGTAGTGGCAGGAGAAAAAAATGGAGGAAAACACCAACATTTCAGAGGACGTGCTTACAGTGTGGCAGCATTCCTGTTTCAGAACTCGGCAAAAGAGTATTTTTTTGACCCTGTTTTGTCTTCTGCCTAAAATTTAGCCTTTTATTTGGAGCAACTTCAAATTCTTACAGAAATAGGTTATAAACAGTAGTGCCAGGACACCTTCATTTTAAGCTATCTGTGACAACATACTGGTACTTTTTTGGCTTTTATCTATGCGTCTGTTTCTCTGTAATGCTCATCTGAATACCCGGTTAGGTTAATGCAGTTTGTCAGTTGATAGAGAACTAGCGAGAAAGGTAGAGTGATGATACCCATCATTGTTCTCAGGAACATACTTTCAAGAGAGTAGAAATTGTTCATTTCACCCAGGCTTGACTGTGATATTTCTTTCCAAAGTTCAACTTGGAATGAAAGGAAGCCCAAAATTTTAAAGCTGTTTACAAAAGGGCTTTTCTAAAGGTAGCAAATTAAAACAATCTGTTCTAAGGAAGGGCCTGTGAGAAAGACTAGATTCCTTGCAGAGTTAGAGGCATATATTTTGAGCAGTGAATACTGTTCCCCACAATTTCACAAGTGAGGATAGAAGTGATACTTTTTTTTTTAATCTGATGTGTTTTTCAACCATTGTAGTCAACTGATGTCAGATTCTAAAAGAGAAGATTATTTTAGATATGTTAGTATCTGTAACGTAAGACTGCTCTAAGAGTGAATGAATTACAGAAGCCTACTACAGAAGAGCACTTCAAATAATCATAGGAAAAAATGCGTCAGTGCCTCAGGGTTGAACAGAAGTAGAACTATGTAGTTGTTTTCATACACTTAAGAATATCTAACATTACCCTTTAAACTGGAACTGTTCTATTATTAAAGGATATCTTTGGAATGTTTATGATGTGAATTAAGAAGAGTGTGAAAAGGAAACATACATTTCAGTAATCGGTTTACCTTTTAAGTTTTTGTGAACGTATGTTCTGTTTCATGGTATATACATCTGCTTACTTTGAATAATGTAATGACAGTTTTACTTTGTGAGATCTGGATGCAGAAAGCAAAGCTGATTTCAATAGTTAAATGTTGTGTGTAGAATCCAATAGAACTTAAAAATACAGAGTAATGTTCTTTACTGATTCACGATTACTAAGTTAGGATTCAGTACAGTTATTTTAAGCTGGGAGATGGCTGTAGAAATATGGGCCGTGAAACAGATTTGTTATTCTGCCTGGGAACAACTTTTTTTTTTTAGTTATAAAAACTTTGTTCCTAAGGAATAAGTGATGTCTGAACAACCTTAGTACCAAACTGTGGTGCATAAGAACAAGTTTATCAGTTTGTAGCCATGTAATCTGATAATTAAAATCAGCCATTTTAAATCAAAATACGAGTCTTGTTTAAAGCTATGTATTACAATGGTTTATGCTCCATTAAAATATTTCATTACTAAAGTGAAGGTAAGATATAACATTCCTCTAGTTCATTAAAGGTTGAGCAGTGCATATTTCAGTGCATTGGCTTAGTTTGATACTATGTGTGAGTAGGTACTGTCTACCATCTAAAAGCTGCTTTTATTTAGGGGTTTTTGCCTTTCTGACTAATGATCCTGTGATGAACTAGAGCTGATCAAGATGTCTGTGGTTGATAGCATATGTATTATTGTGGTATTGTATGAATAACACATTTTTATGTGAAACATACACATGCAAAATTGATGCCATTGTTTTTGCTCTCTGAGGTTTGCTTGCTGTTTAGTCCCCCTGAGTCACCTTTAGAACTAGCTCTTATCTAGTTCTTTACAAGTCTTAAGACAAAATTCAGATAACAAACTGGATAGCCTCATTAAAGCATTCTGTTAGTTTCTGGAGGAGGGCTTCACCTGTTACGGGACTCTTCAGGCAGCTAGCAAAATGTGCAGTAGGAAAGCTGTGTTTTCAATAAAATTCACATTTCATTAGCTATTGATGGCACAAGTATTGAGTCTTAGGGCAGCCAAACCTAGGTTTAATTTAGCAGAAGTAAGATTCTTGTGACACAGTTTATATTTTGTTCCCAGCTCGTTTTTGGAATCCATGTTGTCTTTTTGTGGGAAAAATTGTGACCTGAGTATTTCTCCCTCTCTCACATTGCATACAAGAAGTTGTGCCTAGCTTGTCTGACAAGCTATGTCTATATTCCATTGACTTATCTTTTTAAAAAAACAAAACAAAACAGTAATTTAAAAATAATTGAAGGCTTTACATTTTGGGGGGGGACCTCCACTGATAAGGCAATTTTGCTAGGGAAAAACTGCAGATATTTAAGCAAAAATGTTTGCCCTCTAATAAGGAACCATGGACTTACAGACAAGCAATGAGATGTAAACACCTGTACACTTCTTGCATGGAAGACAAGACATTTAATTCTTGTTTCCAACAGGAATGAGCAAACTTAAGTAGATGAAAATGGAGGCGTGAACATTGTGTATAAGAATATGACAGAGTATTCTCACCGTTGTGAGGTGTGCATATATGAGTGAAAGATCAGAGTTTGTAATGAACAGTCTGCTGGGAAAATGGAAACATTTGACCCCTGCAAAGATTCTGCTAGTGGTGGGACAGTTAGCAATAACAAAAATACAGCCTCAGATTGCACTTCCTCTTGTTTGGAGTTCTGTACAGGACTAGTGCTGGCAAAAGTATCTGATTGACTCCTGTGGGTTTTCTCATTTCTCCGTATCAGTAGCAACTGTAGCAGAACAGGAGGGCTGCATCAGTGCTATTCACACATCACAAAGAATTTCTCACAAGGTTCAGCTGAGGCACTATAATGGGTCCAATAAAGATTGCATCTTGTCTGTCTTTCCATGTAGAGCCAAGAAGTGTGAAAGAACTACTTTCAAATCCTGAGTGTAGACTGTGCTCCATCTTACACTGATAAAATGAGAGGTAGCACTGAATTTGGTATACCCAGTCTTCCCACTAATCAGTTCTGTTGGGGTTTAAAGAGATGGGTACAAATCACTAGCTGCAGCCCATTTATCTTGTTTAACAGAATGCTGGTTTTAAATTCCTACAAGGAAGCAACTTGATTCTCAGAAATCATAAACAGTATCAGTTCCTGGAAGTCAGCACAAGCTGCAGGTGTTTAGCACAGCAGGAAAAAAATGTATGATTTTGATGTAAATATATAAATACCAGACTTGTAAATGTTTGCAAACAATTGCATTTGTTTAGTCTATTTTCTAAATAACCTTTTTAGAATATAGTAAATAAAGCTTAAGCTAGCATAAATTTTTATGAGTGTTGAAGTCTACTTAGTGCTTCGCTATTCTCCCTCCGTTCAAAGTAAAATATTTCTGTGGGACTTTTCATTTGTGGTTCCGTATCACACTCTAAGCTTTTTGGTGCAGTTTTCTTTTACTTTGGGATGGGGGGAAGTAGTTTTTGGTGATTCATTATTTTTTCAAAACCAGCAGAGACCAAAATTAATTGCACTGAAATAAACTGGGAGAGAACAGACATCCCTGTGTATATATTTTTGTGGGTTTTTTTTAAATTTGTTTACTATTGGTAGTTGGAATTATAATCCGTACATGATGCTAACCATTTTAAAGTACAGACCATAACTCTCATAGTTGTGTCTGAAAAATGGTTAGTATATGTACAAAGCTGTATTGCTGATGTAAAAATCGTTCTCTTCGCTTTAGTAGAAGAGGAGTCATTTTAGATTTCCCCTGAGATTGTTCAATAAGTTCCATGTCTATAAAGAGCATGCAGGAAAAAAAATAACCGTGCTTCAAGTACGCCTTGATTTTAGATAACAATAATGTTAAAAAAAAATAAAATTCTTGTACTTCTAAGTGTGGAAATGATTTGAGCTTGTATCAGTAGGGAACATGTCATTCCTTAGTTCAGATGATGTTGTTGCTTACAGGGGTGCTTACTAGATTTATTAATAATATCTTTGTGAGCCAGCCTGCTATAAATTCTTATAACTTTAGCAGAGACTAAGAAATAAATTAATGTTTTTCATTTTGAAGCTGATCTGTGATGGTGGTTTGTTTGGGACAATTTTTGTTTGAAGAATCCTGCAAAGTTACTTGTTAAGTTAATAAGAGATATAGCATAATTCAGAATTAAATTGTTAAAAACAAAATTCAGAGCAGTGCTCTAACTTTCCTCTTTCTGTTATGTAGTTGCCCTTACCTGCATCGAACAACAGGGGATACAGAAAGGAAGTATCATCTCAGATATTACAAGACTGGAACATGCATTCATGAAACAGATGCCCGGGGTCACTGTGTGAAGAATGGAATTCACTGTGCCTTTGCTCATGGTCCACATGACCTTAGACCACCAGTATATGATATAAGGTAGTCTTGTTTCAAATTCTTCGGCCTAATTAGCAGGAAATACTGCATGTCTGTTATCACCACATACCAGAAAATGCAGTATGTTTTGCATGAAAAATATACTTGCTTCTGTAGCTGTAAACATAAGAATACAATTCACTGTGCATCATGAGAGCAGATAGAAGCACACTGGGAAATACAAATACTAAGGTTTTGTAACTTGCAATTTCAAGAGCCGTATACATAATTCTTACAACTGATGAAAGACCAGATACTCTGCCTTTTGTCATTTACGCCTTGTAAATTTGCATGTGGTTTTTACATTCACAAATTTATGATTTGGTTAAGCCATCTTTTAGGTTCTCAGCTTGTATGTTTGACATTTTGCCTACTGACGTTGCGTTTTTATTAATTATGTTGTATTTTTTCATGTATGAGATACCAGTATTATTTTCTGCCTCTCTAATGTATAATCAAGTTATTGTCGAAAGAAGGTGCTTTGTGAATCAGGGTAGTGGTAGGTATGAGTTTTAGCTGTGGCCAAAGCTGGGAGATAAGCATGTTGTTGGGAGGTATTATAAATGGGTGGAAGGGGAGCTCTTGCTACAGAAGTGGTCTGTATATACTCAATAGGAAAGGATACCAATTCCTAGAGAGCTTTGAAGCCTTGGAGGGTCACAAGTATCTCTTCCTGGACACTGGACAAGCATTCTGGGGAGGTATCACTATACGCTTGCCCTATTCTTATACTCTTCCCTAGGCATCTGCTATTGGCCACTGTTGGAGACAGGATTCCAGGCTAGATGAACCTTTGATCTGAGCTGGTATGGCTGCTATCTTACATTCTTACCTTTGTTACCCTTTATTCCCAACCATCTGTTGGGACATGATAGCTCTCCCTTCACAATAATTTTAGTAAAGTTAGTGCCTTTTCAGTAATTTCGTAATTATTTAAATTCGTATTTTGCCACAGAATTCACTGCTGCATTGCCTGGTCACATATTGTTTAGTTATATATAGCTTTTCCTTCCAGAAGACTTTCTTCAATTAGCTAGTTGATGCTTCTTCTGCAAGACATCTGTCCATTTTCTTTTTCTTCTTTTTAACTTTCCTCATTTAGCTTACGCAGCATGATGCCACATCAGTCTGAATACAGAATGATTAGTATCTTTGTAATCTTTTGAATTGCATTAGAATGAGGAACCAATGTATAGCAAGACTGAAACCAAGCTGCGTTCTGTAAATGTCTTTTGATGTGTTACATGATTATTTATTGGTGATGGACTATGTATAGAGCATCAGGAGGAGCTGAAGACATTTGTGGTAGGAGTCTACGTTTAATGGCTTGAACCTACAAGTAGGCTGCCTCAAACTTCTTTGGTGTTTGTGAAAAACAGTTGTGTGCCATTGCTTCTCCTGATTTCAGGCATCCAGCATTCATAAGGAAGTCCAAACAGTCAGGTCTTATTTTTTCTTTGCTGGTCTTTTTGCTCTATGATGGACACAGATATTAGGGTTTCTTCATTTTAAGTAAAGAGCAGAGAAATAACAGTAGAATCACTGATACAGACGTTAACTTTATTCCCCTTAATAGCCTTGTTCTTCTACATATCCACTTTAAAGAAGAAATACTCTCTAGGAACTACCTGTTTTCCTTCTCATTGCCTGCACCTTTTCTGAATCTGTAAAAGAAATATTTTGACTGTTTGAAAGGTTTTAGACTTGGCTTTGGTTCTGTCTTATCTTCGTTTCCCTTTGAGATTTTCTTTCTTGGAGGATGCTTGGGGTCTGGGAAGTTCTTGAAATGATATGTAAATGATATTATAACTAGTTACATTATAAACCATCACACCTTTCAAACTCCTCTTCAGAGATCCTGAGTAGGAATATTTTGGTATAGGAGGTAAGCTCCTTGAATATTTGTGTCTAGAGAAAGCAGTGCCAATTGAAAGTAGAGGCCTTTGATTCTCATAAAGTACTATAGATCCACCTCTGGTATTTGATTCCTCACCTTGTTTCTCCATTGCTTCAAAGTCTGCCTAATATAATTATGCTATAATATCTTTTTTTTTTTTTAATCTTTTGTATTGATTTGCCATTGTTGAATCTCTGTACAGCTTAATTTTACTAAAATGGTATAATAAAATTGTCTCAGATTTTTGGTAGAGGTTTCATACCACTAATACAATACCTTTCAGTTTGGTAGTAGTCATTCTGATCTTTCAGCAAGCTTGTGGTTGCTTACTTGCAAAGCAGTTGTAAATTCTTGCAGAAGAGATTCCATTTCCTCATAATGATTGTTGTTTGTTGCTAGGTCTCCCGAATGTCTTGACAAACTTTTCTTGCAAAATCTTATAGTGAGCCAAAAGTACTTTGGCTGCTTTTATATGATGTAGTATTCAATAGCTATATTTTGTACCTTCCTTCAGTCATAACTTTTCCAAGGCAGAGAGTCTTATGGTGTTTAATTCTCCCTCATAGAGGAGGAGTTCTGTACTTCTGATCACCCTTCCTGCCCTTTCTGTATCTTTTTTAGTTCTACTGTGTCCTGTGTGGCAGTGGAATATCAGAAATTAATAGTGTATTCAAAATGTCAGCACACCAGTGTACAGAGGTACAGATGGGCATTGCTGGTACAAACATTATCTGTGTACATAATGCCAGCATTCCTTCATGTGTTCTCTTTGATTTGTATGACATGGTTATTCCTTACAATTGTTTGCCAGCTTCAGTGCAAGTAATGGTTTGAAATACAGCCATTTTAATTTTTTTAACGAATTAGGCTTCTTAAGAGCTGGATTAAATGACAGAATTTTGATAGACTTGGACAGGATTACACCTGCGACAGATAGGGTTACTGTAGCTATGCAGTTTAGCAGTGTTACTTTCTTTTCCCCATTCCAGAGAACTTCAGGCACAGGAAACCTTGCAGAATGGGCAGCTAGGATGCGGTGAAGGCATTCCAGATCTGCAACCAGGAATTTTAGCAAGCCAGGCAATGATTGAGAAGATCCTTAGTGAAGATCCAAGATGGCAGGGTAACGTTACCCTGTCTCCTTTCTCTGTTTCTTTACTGGTGTTTGATCCAATTTGTTGATCCTGGGTCTTCATCTGGGAGAAGTTCAAAAGCCTTTTTTAACAGAGTAAAGAATTGGTTTATATAAGTAATATGGATATTTGTGAACAAGTTGTACCATCTGTGACATTTATATTGAGATTGCATTTTGAAAATGTTTTGTTTTGAAAACGTTTAATAGGTCTTTTTCAGTTTAATTGATAGAAGTGTTGCTAATCTGTGTCAATTGAATAAATGTTCTTAAAAGTCAGTAGGAGCTCTGTCTTGTGCTAAGTAGTAGTAATAATGAGAGTCTTCATTTTTTGAGTCATTCATAGACTAGTTAATGGACTGTTATTATTTGCTGAGCTTGACTAACAGAATGAAGTGGAATATTAAACAGAAAATTGGAGCAGAATATTAAAATACAAGAATGTCTTGAAAGCATTATATTAGATCTCTTAAAGTAAACCTAGTTTTCTTAAGGCTTTCAAGTTTGGTTCTCATGTTCTTGGTTTAGACTTGCTTATTATGTAGCCAAAGGTGTTAGTATCAATGGGATATTGTTAGAGCTCTTGCCCAAATTTTGCTTTGGAAAAGACTGCTGGGTACAATTACTTCCACAAAATTCATGTGGGGACAGTAACACAGGAAGAGGTCATATGAAGATGCTGTCTCTAAGGAATTCAAGGGGAGATAATTGTATGATACTTGTCCCCTCTATATTTTTTAAATCTACTATAGGATGAGTTCCAACCATTTAAGTACTAATAATGTGTAGAGCTTAATTGTCAGCTCTAGATCAAAAAATATTGGATGTTCAACGTAAAAAGACAGGAAAATTGACCAACAACAAACACTTTTATTGCATTCCTTGCATTGTGACAAGTCTGTGTTATATAATGGTGGATGGCTTCTGTCAATCCCTGTAAATATGGTGAGACTGCACGTAGTTTCTGGGGATTGAAAATCATCCAACTAGTGATTTCAGCCTTATTTTCTTAAGTCTTTAATGAAACTATTGAAAAGGACTGAACAAAGAATAGACTCCATGTGATACTCTGATGAATAATCTTTGCTATTTGAAAGTACATCATTAATGACTCTCTGAGAATGTTTCTTCAGCTAGTTTTCCACAAATCCTACAGGAGTCTTGTAGTATTGTGCAGTTCGTTTTTGAGAACATCTCAGGCTAAAAAGTTTGCTGAAGTCAAGGTACATCACATTGACTGCTTCTGTTTTACCTACATCCATTTTCCCACCTTAGGAAGAAGGTAGATTGGTTTGACATGATTTACTCCTCATGCTTGCCATTAGCTAAATTGTACCTTCTAATTTATTTACTTGCTCCATTGTTTTTCTGAATTTTTCTGTTTCTAGACAGAACCTTGTTTGTCATCTCTTAGTTCCTCCTTCCTGGAACCATAGATGTAGAGATAGAGGCAAACATAGAGAAGAGGCTCTAGAACATGTCCAGGAAGATTTTACTAGACAGCCTTAGCATGCCCTAACATGAAAGCAGTTTTGATGAAATGAGGACTGTCAACACTAAACTTAAGAGAAATCCAGATATAAAATTGTATAAGTTTTTAGTGTTTGTCTTACTAAAATGAATAATGTATTTTCAGGTATTCATTTTCAAAATGTTAAATGTATCTAATGAGAATTTCCAGATAGTTTCTCTACCAATAGATTGCTAGTGCTTTATTTATGTACTTTATTGTAATATTGCTATTGAATATAAAAGCAATGAAGATTGCTTTGCCTGTAAATGTGTTAGCCTTTTATTTTAAAAAATGCAGGGGTCAGTCTAAGTTTATAAGAATGGAGGGGTCTGTGAATCATAATTTTTTTACAAAAAGCAGTGTGATACCTAAGCTCACTAAAGACACTCTGAATGCAAAAATTAGTTGTTTATTTCTCTTAATTGTTGACCTGTTTACAGACACAAATTTTGTATTAGCTGGCTACAAGACAGAACAATGTACCAAGCCACCCAGACTCTGCCGCCAGGGTTATGCATGTCCACACTATCACAATAGTCGAGATAGAAGACGAAATCCCAGAAAATTCAAATACAGGTACATAAATACATACTAAGAATATGGTCAGTCATGCAGTTGTTAATGGACTGATCTGTTTGGGTTCTTCTATAATGCAGTTGGATATTCCTAATGGAATAAAACCCCATCTTTTCCAATAGCCTTGCTAAATTTCTTTTGGGGGAAAAAAGCATTTGTTCAGAATGATCAGACAGTTCTGAAGACAAAAACTATGAAGCTGTAATGGAAGTATCCTTCTTTCTTGTGAAGAATGAAAACAATTTCTATAATTCTTAGCAAAAATTGGAATCACTAGGTCAAACCTTCGTTATGAAAAGATCAGTTATAACTTCTGTCTTTTTTCTGGTTTTGTTCTATAATTTTCCATTTCTGAGCAATATTTTTAGGACCAAAATTAATGCATCACCTCTCTTACTTTTCATCATTACATCATTCATCATTACATCATTTTACATCATTCTCGTACACTGTGGTTTCTTCATTTTTTTGGTGTTTTTTTCATGCAGTGATACAAGGTTTAGAATTGATGGGCTTTGCTTAACAATCTCAGGACTGTGAATAAATGTCATTAGACAGAAGATAGATAGACTCCTGCTAGCTCATCTTTCTATCAATTTCCAAAAAGTCAGAGTCTCTCAGAATTTGCAACTGTATAGGTCCCAGAATCTAAGATTCTGAGATATAGTGGGAAATAATTTGAGACTTCTGCTAGGAGGTAGATACAAACATGCTCTGGACATCACTTTTTTCTAGGTCCACTCCTTGCCCCAATGTAAAACATGCAGATGAATGGGGTGAACCTTCAAGGTGTGAAAGTGGGGATAGCTGTCAATATTGTCATTCTCGTACAGAGCAGCAGTTTCATCCTGAGGTAAGAACTATGTTTCTACTTATTTTTAGCCATTTCAAATTTATTATGGATTAAATTATCGATTAAAGATACTATTTATGAAAAAACATGACATTTCATTCAACACTTCCAGTCGTTGAGGGTGTATGCTTAAGCAAAACAAAATTTGCTAAGAAATAGTTATTTGTACTGCTGTGGTTTTCACTGATAGGCATTTTTGTTGTGCTGCTTATGAAAAATGAATTAATGTTCTCTGGATTTGGGCATAAATAAATGTGTTCTCTTTTTTACCTAACTTCTTGGATTGGTAATGAAGTCACAGTAGTAATTGCTAGTCAATAACTTGGGACAAATTTCTATTTTAAGTATAGTTAAAAAAGCTTTATTGCAAATAATTAAGAGAAACTGAATAGGTCAGGAGGAGGTAGAAGGAGCAGAAAACTTTCCTAGTGGCTGAAGTAAGACACTTCAGAAAAACAAGGTGATTTTAGATTCCTCTGTAGGCAAAGTCATTGTAACTTTGTTGGATGCTTGAGCATAACAGTGAAATGCCAGGGAAGAGAGCAGTGCCATGCAATCTGCTGAGATTTAATTCTTATGTGACACTATGAAAATATTAATTGTGCCAGTTAATGGAAACAAACATGATACTGAAAAGACATGTTATGCTAGAAGCTGCCTGTACAACATTGGATATCCGTTTTCATTTTGGGACCTTTGAATGGACATGAAGAACTCACAGCAGGATGTAATTTCTTGCATTAGAAAGTTCAATACTTAGTAAGGTATAAGCAAAGACCATTCAAGCAATTGCTAATTTCTTTTCCGATTATGAAGATTATTGAAGGCATCTCAAGACCTCACTGGGAAAGGAATTCTTAGAATACTGCCTCCAGGATTGTTGCAAGCTTCATATATGTTCCCTATCATAAGTTGACCAGCTACATCTTTATACTAAATAGGTGTCAGCTATCTCTACTCTTGTGATGCTGCTCCAGAATTTCACTGTCCTGATTACTAGAGATTTTACAGTCCAGACTTATTTCAGATCATCTAATTTCTTCTGCATCATAGTCCAGCCCTTTTCTGTAGTAAAGGTGTCTTCCTGCTTAGTATTGCTACCATACTTCTATTTATGACAAAGTTATGAATGAAAGTGCTAAAATAAGTCACAAGGCTGAGCCTTGAGTTCTGCTACTAATTTTGTCTGCTGCCTTCCTCTTTCATACCATCCATTGTCATCTCTCTATTAGTCAATTTAACATTGGTAACTGTAACATTGGTAAAAGTCATGTCCATTTTTAAGAAGGACCTTTGATTTATCAAAGTTACGTGGTGAGTCTACCATGATGTGCCTCAAATGTACTTTTAATTTTATCCCATTTCTTTCTGTCTTTAATCTAAACGAACGCAGACAGAATAATTAGTGGACTCTTAATTAATGAATCTTACCATATCCTTTATTGAAGTCCTTACTAGAATGACCGCATTTCCATTTTTAGAGAAGGACCTTTGATTTATCAAAGTTACGTGGTGAGTCTACCATGATGTGCCTTTGCCAAATGTACTTTTAATTTTATCCCATTTCTTTCTGTCTTTAATCTAAACGGTGACAGACAGAATAATTAGTGGACATACAGGGGCTATTTTTGCTCTTCTCAAATGTATGTGAGCTATACTTAATATACCTCAGTTATATGTGCTACTTCCGACGTGATGGCTTTATTAAAAGTACTTGCTAACTGCATCTGTCTTATTTGCCAGTTTTTTAAAAATTCTGATGTAAAAATTACTTAATTAATTTCCTGTTCCTGAACTGACGGTGATTTGCTTCCACATCAGCTGTAGTTACCTCAGACTTTGTCTGCTTGTTTCCATTAGCTGTGCTGCCTTTGTTGTAGTGTTGAACACAATTCCTACCGATAATCAAGGCAGTTTGGTGGGGACAGTGTTACCACCTCACCTAATTTTAGGTTTAGTATTTAATTTCACAGAAACTAGCAATGTGCCTGCACTGAAAGAGTGGTTTTCATTCAACATCATACCCTGTGATCCTTTCCCTCCTTTGCTCCAGCTCTGACTTTCATCCAGTTGCGTGGTTAGAATGGAAATTCCATACAGCTTTTCTACCTCTGACTTGAGGATTCAAAGCACTCATTTGGTTCCTAATGAAATTCAGTCTGTTTAACGGTGGTAATCAGTTGCCTTCATTCTTCAGTCTGCTTATTTGATGTCAATAACATTAGTTCAGACTTACTTTTTTATGTCCTTTAAGTTGAATTAATACTCACTTTATCCAACATTATCTTCTCTTATTGGATGTTTTCATGTACTGGTTCTTTACCAAATTCAAATAAAGAATATTGCCATTGCCTTTTGGCTCAGTGACTATTTTTTGAAGAAATCTTTTGGTTATCACATTCAGGAATAGCTTGATTCTACTGTTAATAGATAGCAGCCATGTTCTTTTCTATAGCTGGGAAGTTAGTCTTCTGTAATGATTTAGTTCTTTGAGTTTGCTGTCTTTCTTGTAATATTGGTATGTATAGATGATGTGGCCATCTCCAGAATCAGTCTTTGAGGTGCGAGCTCTGCCCCAATAGTATTTTGATATCTGTATTATCACTTCTTACATCTGTAGCATTTACCAGAAGGCATTCCACACCATCTGGGTAGCTCATAGGATCTGGAAGGCTATTTTTTGGCTAGGACCTCAAACTAAGACTTCCAATTACATCTTTTGTTGAAACCATTTGGAAATTAGCTCTTCTCATCTTCTGCATCATTAGCATCATGTACAGCATTGGGGTTTTATATTTAACCAATAGAGAAAAGGAAAGAAAGGAGATGGGCCCAGCTTAATTTCCTAGTTTGGGTGTGGTATCCACAAATGACTCCTTTGTTTTTTGCAATGTCTGTGATAGCTCCTAGTGAAATTGGTGGAAAGATCAGTCACGCTGTTTCGTTTAAGTGTGTCATTTGGGTGAATACTTGTCTACAGCATGGATGTTTTGTTGCTTTTTCAGTGTTCAAGGAAAAGTAAATTGTTTGTAGAGTGATAAGCATCGGTAATAATTTTGTGATTTAGCATTTTACTATAGTTTCTTGGGTGATCTTTGGGTAATGCATGAACTAGTAGTGAATATAGCAACTAAATTTTCAGCCTCGATTTGAAATCACTTATGAGAGGGAAATTTATCTAAGATGCTTAAAATAGCTCTAAAATAAAGAGCTTACAGAACTAGTTGTTGATTTTTTTAATACATAGGTTCATTTTGCATGTTTGCTCTAAGGAGGGAGTCCAAGGTAAACATTTTTTTACACAGCATATGCAAAAGTGCCAAAGAAGTGGCATTCTGAACTAAGAGTTATTACTTATCGAGCCATGAATCACTCAACTGACACTGAAAGCCAAAGACCACAGTACCAAGGTTTGGGGAACCAAAAAGATCCCTCTGCTATTTGCCACAGACTTGCAAATCACCGGAATTAATTTTCTAAAGAATCTATGTGCTTTTAAATAGGTTCTTAGTATTGTTCTAATATGATAGTATGTCAGCCCCTCCTTCCAGCCGTGCGAGATCCAAAGATCATCAAGATCTGGTAGAGCAATAAACTGAATCTGGGTCTTACTAGCAACTTAGATAATCATTACCGTCATGAACAGTCAGTATTACTTCAGTTCTCATGCACCTCAGTCAGGCTAGAGAAAGACATTTGAATGTTAGATGATTTGAATATTAGCAGTGTCCTAATGAAGGAACTGTATTGAAAAAAACATATTGGGGTTTTTTTTTCAGCTGTGTAAGCTACTTTACTACATACATCACTTCTCCTGCAAGATTTCTTAAAAGTGCTGTGAATGACTTTGAACATTTTATTCCCAATGTTTGACTTGTTTCTATACAACATGGAAAACCAAAGCAGTTTAAACACTGCTTTTCTAAAATATTATTGTTACTTACTATTTATTATTATACAGAAGAGGGTTAAGATTCTTTTGTCTCAGGTTTGCTTTTCTTAAAATTCTGCTCTTCTATTTGATTTTTTTAAAATGATCATAAGAACTGAGTTTTCTGAGAAAACTGTGTAATACATATTGTTAGTAAATATTCAGAATTTTTCATTTAAAGCTTTTAAAAGTTTTCTAACTATTTTGTCATTACGTAACAAATATGTTTAGGTTAACCACCCTTCTGTTTTGTTTAGATATATAAATCTACAAAGTGCAATGACATGCGGCAAACAGGTTACTGCCCACGTGGTCCATTTTGTGCGTTTGCACATGTTGAAAGTAAGTAAGAGAACTGTTATTTTGTATCAGTGTTCATAAAAGCAAACCATCATTTCTAAGCATCAGAAACAGAAGTGACTTAACATCATTAATTTTAATGCATAAATGGCATTTGATGTCACTTGTTTTTAGAAATTCATTCCATGTTTTCTAATACCGTACATTGCTATGGGAGCTTGCTGCATTTGCATTAAATTTACATCAGCAGTAAAACAGGAGGTGCTTTTCTTTACCAGTGCAGCTTGTCCCTGTAATTTTTTGAGCTTGATTTGGCAATTTTCTACGCAGACGCTTGACTTCTTAAAATATATTAGCTGTCCTATTGAAACCTATAGTAAACTTCTCAGGTAAAAGTTAAACATCCTTGCAGAACTAGGGCCCTAGCTAAACTGAAAGAACACAGAGAAAATTATGTCAGCTGTCCTCTTTCCTCCATAGCCCACTTACATCTTCACTGCACTCAAACAGAAAAAGGGAGGAGGGACCATTTTTTTCCAAGAGAGCACTCAGTTCTTCGGTGTGCATCTACAGAGGTTAATTCTGGGTATGCACCATCATATTCTTTTTAATAATAGTATCAACTTAGGTTACCCCTACACTCTTCCTGCACTCCAGAATGTGAAGTGTGCAGTTGCTGCAACAACTGTTCGTGCTGCCTTTGCAGTTGTGATGCAAGGCAGAACTTGAAGCATTTCTATGTAACTGGTTTTTTATAGGTGATAAATCTTTTTTTTTTTTGATTATGTAGTTTTTGCTTGATTATGTAATCAGTAAAACCTCATATTTATTCTTCAAAAAGAAAAAAAAAAAAGGTCTGCTCCTATCTTACTTTTTGCCTTCTGCTTCCAGAGCTGCAAAGTGGGATGAGAGACCCTACCAATTTTGGAAAGCTCAAAATTTCTGCAATTCAGTAATATTTATCTTATGATTCTCTAATGATAAGTAGTGGCAGTCTCCTCTCTCTGTCTAACCTGTCTAGGCAAATGTGATGTTCTGTACAACAATTTATTGTGTCACTTGCTCACCTAAAAGACTTTCAGTGAAGAGTCATTCTTGCTGCCCACAGCTCTTGTTTCTGAGAATCTGTGGTATGGTCAACTTGTCTTTTAACTTCTCTGGGATGATCAATTTTACTTTTCCATGGGTTTGTTACTCAAAGAAGAGGAAGGATAAATAACCTCCTGTATTTATTTCAAGAAGCCCATTATTCTAAGACCTAGCAATTCTTCAAAACATTATGGCAATGAAGTCAGTATTGACTGTTTCTTCACATCAAAAGTAGTTCACCGCCTTTGCTTTCGTGCTGTTGGGGCTATGTCCTAAATCAAGTCCTTCACTGTTTGCCAGTGTTGGCAAGTACTTCTTTGACTCGGGAAACTCTGAAAATACACGTTTTGTTACAGAAGTAATTTATGGCGCTGGGTTTACTGTTCTATTTATCCGATACAAGTTTGTTCTTTCCTGAAACAGCTGAAAAGAGTATGATTTAAACAAATTCACTGACATGCTACAAAACTCCTGCGGGAGAAGACTACATTTTCTCTCTTTTCTTCCTTAGAGCATACTGAATGCTGTCTCCCTTCTTGCCTCTCCAGCATGGAGAGTGTACAGGATAAACTCAGCAGAGCTCTTGGAGATTGGAGTTCTTTTGAGACCCCGTCATGATCTACTTCTGTGTGTCTTGATCATTAGTATCTTTAACAGTCCAGTTGATGGTTGATTCCTATGAGAGGAATCATTCTCGCAGGAAGCTCTCATTGACAATAAACAAGGTTTCCATCTCTAAGGTAAAGTTAAGCGTTGCCCAGGCTAAAGATAAAGAGGGCTGAAGGAAAGTCCAAACTTAACAATTTGCAGATGTTATTCTCCATAAGGGATATCTTTCTAATCTGTTACTAATCCTTCTACCCCAGCCCCGTTCTTTCTTCTAGTCTGTAGGATGAATTCTTGTACTCTTTAAAAATCTCCAGAACTCTGAGAGAATACCTGAGACTTTGAACATGTTAGTAGTGCTAATTGAGAAGCAGCAGCTTAATTTTCTCCACATAGTTGCATTAGACAGAAATTTATGTCCATCAGAAGAGACTTACATGGCTCAACCAGCATGCTCTGGAACTCTGGCTTGCATCATCTGGAATGAAGACTGTGTAAGCAGGAAATCTCAACAAATGAACTTGAAATCTTGCAACAGTACCCACCCCCTGTCTCTGGTAGTCTGAACAGTCCATCAGAAGTTAGATGTTTGGTTACTATCAGCAAGAGTGCCTTTCTGCTGTTGGCAACAGCTTTAAGCTTAGTTCAGCAGCTTTGACATTCTGCCTCCTATGTCCGTAGAATAAAATGGTTTCTGTCCCTTCCATATTAGGGAAGGGGGAGAGAATGGTTTCAGAGCTGTAGATCTTATCATTAGTATGAAAAGCATGAAATTCTTGGTTCATGGATCTCTTTGAATCACAAATTATGGGTGTTCTTCACCTAACTTCAGTGAAGCCCTAGCTATGTGGAACGGGTAGAGGAAGTTTTCCCACCATTCATACGTGTATTTCAGCAATTTTTATCATTCTGTGTGAAATAATTTGTGGAAGCATACGTTCTCTATAATAGCATTCCTGGTCTTCCCTCAATGACTTGCTCAGAACCAGCTGACCATTTTTTTCCCTTTTCTCCCTCCTTTGTGAAGATCATGAGGAATATTACTCTTCCTCTAAGACTGCTTTTCCCTTGAGGCCCTGGCCCCCGGTAGTACTGTCTTACAAATGTCACTCGTTGTTTTCCCCCCACTGGCTAAAGCCCTAGGTCCAGTGTAGTCCCAAAGACACTTTGTGATGACAGGAGGGAGGGCACCTGATCCTGAAAAGTAGAGAAGTAGTGGGATCTGACATATCTCCCTGACACCCTTTGCAAAGCAGAGAGTAGCTAAGGTATGTTGGGACACTTCAGTAACGGACTCTCTTAAAATAATGAACACCTCTCTGTGGCAGTCATTTGTCCACTCACTGCCTGACTACAACTGGCACCTTAACAAAAAATAGATTTTTTTTTTGAAACAGAAACATGGGCAGACTGAAATTCTGCTGGCAAGAATTTGGAAACACTTCAAAGAACACATCTCCTGTATAACAGCTTCTGTTACTGAAGGCATTTGCCTTCGGATTGTTCGTCCAAGACTGTTCTCTTCTATTGGTGCCAAGATTGCAATAATGAAAAAACTTACTTCTGACTTCATGAAAGATGGGATTCCCCAGGCCAGACCTAGCCTGACCATGGTAACTCTTATATTCATAATACCCAAGCCTTGTGAGTGCAAATTCTAAGGAGGCTAGATAGCTGAAAAAGTTGTATCTTATAAAGAGTACAACCCTATTTCTACATAGCATCCTAGACTACTGATACATAATCCCTGAAGCACCACTGCACTGGCATTAGATAGTTGAAGTTCTTTTTGAGGGCCCTGTCCTAACCTCCAGGAGCTTCAGTGATCGCCATGAGATAGGCCACCACGAGACCGTTGCTTTTCTGTCAGTTGCAACCTCCTACAACAGCTATAGGTCTTTGAGAAAATATGGTTAGACTGGGGGAGGCTTACACTGTAGAATTTGTAACTTTTGTGCAGCTGGCCACAAACTATGATGTTCACTCTTGGAAGAAATTAGAATGATGTGGAAGCACACATTCTGAATTTAATGTGTCCGTTTGACTTACTATCAATAAGCAGAATAGCAAAAACTAATCATGCTATTCTCCCTAAATACCTTGGAAAGAGAAAGGAGAGATTATTTCTCTTTGAAATGTTTGGAAAGCAGTCTTTCCAAACCCTTTTAGGGTTAACACTCATTTATAGAATATTGGAGGAGTATGTGGTTGTGTCAGGGGAAAAAAGCTAATGAAGATTTAAGAGAGAGCATGAATCAGGTATTGCTCTTCCTAGGACAGTGTGAGGGTTGACTGGACATAAGATGGCTGACTGGACTTGCTCTGGGCAAGCAGCTATACAATGAGATGATAGGTAGTGAAAGTGAGAGTCAATTACAAAAAGTCAGTGCATCTGTTTCTGTCTTCCCAACTGTTCTTTGCACTCTCATTCTGTAGGAGGAACAGCAGATTCTGTTCTAGTGACACCATCTTTGCAATCCCTATGGTTTTTTTTTCCTTTTCTTTTTTTTGGGTGTGGCTGGACTGGACTTGTGTGCATAGTGGTACTACTAGTAGCTTCTTCCTTTCTCTCATGAGCCACGTCCCTATTTTTGTAATTTATACAATAGTGGAAATATTTGGTAAAGCATTGGACCGTATAGTAAGAAGGCCGTGGAGTTGTGATAAATCAAATGCTAGATAGAAAAACCCCACATCATTAGAAACAATCCTCAGCTATGCTATCTCCACTGAAGAGAGGTGTCTATGTATCTCATGCTCATTCTGTCTCCTACTATGGCTTGTACTTTCATACACTCTATCAGAGCTACTTACTGTTTCTAGTAGAGAGAAATGTTTAAATTTGATTTTTAACTGTAGTTTATCATTGCTCCTTCAGAAATGCAGTAGTGGCTAGAGATGAAAAAAATCTTACTGTACGTGTAGAATTTATTAAGAGATTTTGTTTTCAGTCCTGACTTCCTTACTTTGATGTCTTGTGTGCATGGATTATGAGGTGAGGAATGTTATTAACTGTAATTGCTTACTAAAGTAAACATTTTTTGTTAATTCATCATTTGCTTGTAAAACTAGAAGTCTAAATCTCCTTAATATATTGCACATTTAAAGAATCAAATATCTAAGATGTTTAACAGTTTAACAAAGTAGCCTTTGGGGAATTGCGAAGTAATTGTTCAGTCACCTTGCGTTGAATTTTCTGGTATGAAAATTAACAAGTCATTGGTCACAATTTATGTATAAGTTAATAATAAACTTTCTCAAAGGTTATTGTTCCTTTTTAAGTTAAATAGTACAAGTCCCGTATTCTCTTCAAATTGTTTTATGATACAATTTATGTAAGTTAATAATAAACTTTCTCAAAGGTTATTGTTCCTTTTTAAGTTAAATAGTACAAGTCCCGTATTCTCTTCAAATTGTTTTATGATCAAGTCAGTTGGTTCTAGACTGGAAAAAGAAAACAAAGAACCCTATAATTATGATGCCATTGTTACCTTTCCAGTAAGGAGTTCTAAAAATGTTGTCTTTAAACCCTTGTGTGACACAGATTCTGGAAAATAAAGCAAAATCTAGAATACTTTAAATATATGAATTTTTATCTACCTCCCACCAATTTTTGATGGAGCAAGTAAATGAGAGCATCAGATTTGTTAGTAGCCACAAATACATAACAGTGAATTATATTATTCTTACCTTGTCTTTATGCTTATATTTAAAGAAAAAGAGAGAGATTTCTTGTGTGTGATTGATGTTTCCATGTGACAGGTGCTGTGTTTGGTACTAGGTATGTAATTGTTAAATTCACACAGCTAAGTATCAAATCTGTGTGTAATTTGTTGGGGATTCCTTCAACAGAGGACACCATGAATGTAGTCATACTGCAAACTGGTTGTCAATCAAAGCCAGGCGCTCACCTGTTTTCAACAGACAGCATAGGAATTGCAAATGAATGGAGCAGCAGTCTTAACTCCACAAACAGCATTACAAATAGCAGTGGGCAGTCTGGAAATGTAAGTGTAAATAATTCTGGAAAAGTTACTAATAATAATCACTGTGCCAATATACAATGTTTATTTTACTTCTTAAACGTCTGTTTTTTATTTCTTTGTACTTCAGCAAAAGAAAAAAAACCACAGCTATAGTAAATGTCAGGCAGTAATATTTAACTGGTACTGTAAGCCTAAATGGAATGTCTGCCCTTGGCACCAGATTTAACTATGTATTATTTGTGTTTTCTGTTCTTGTTTTTTGTCTTTAGATGCAATATTTTGAATGCTAGAGTGAGGAACATCATTGTTAATCAAATACACAACTACAGGACAGCTTAATTTACATATGTCTCTTTTTTCTATAGGAAAGGTTTCATTCATGGAAGACCTTGCCTGATCCCAGCCCTCTTCTCTGCCCTAATTTGTTAACATTAGGAATGAATTTATGTCCTTCCTGAACATGCTTTATACTTAAAGCTTCTTACAGTGGTGCAGTACATGCAGTGTGTTTCATAGTAGAGAGGTGTTTGATTACAAGGGTGATAAATGTAGCTTATATTAGCAAATTTTATCAGTTAAGGATGGGGGAGAGGAAGGAGAAAGATATATTGCGGAACTTTTATTATCTTCCTTTTAGTATCAGTTGGAATAGATCCTTTTGTTAGGTTTTATGTTTGTTGCAAAATAATATCTAAAGATAGTGACATCTCTCTTGTTCTCTCCTGACTTGCATTTTTCTTACCTCATTTGCAGTGCAGAGTCATAAGTACCTACACATTTATTCCCAGAATTTTCACTTCTAGCTTTCCAGCACTGTTGATCTATACTGTTTGGTTAGAAACTAGATAAAAGGACATATTTTAAATAATGTTTAAAAGGAATTGCCAATAAATAGTGTGATTGTTAAAACTCCTGGGTTTCTTTCATGTAGCTTCATATTGCTGTCCTGCAGATTGAGAATAAAGATACCAGTATGCCTACATCTTATCTTAGGTTCCTAGTGCAGAAGTCTGCTTCTGTATATGAAAGGTTCTGTGAGAGGGTCTGCCTTTTTATTTAGGAAGCTAATCTTGTTGTTGCTAAGGTTCTGAAGCTTTCAGGAGAGACCATGAAAGCATCTTTTCTCCCAGAAGCTTCTTAGCTTTTCATGAATGATTTAGGTACAGCTGAAAACACTAAGTATTCTAATATGCCTTCCAGCTATGGGGAATCTTCTTCCATATGCATGCATTTTTCTGTTAGTCATTAGGAGTCTAATGAACATTGTCTACGTTTTCCATTCCATGCTCAGTGAGTCTCTGCCTGTACTACTTTTCAAGTGTGAAAATGGAAAAGTTGACCCTACTCCCTTCCCTGTACTTTCTACTTGAAGTTTTATTGCAAGTGGCCACCTTTTTTCTGTTGTCTGGCAAAATGTTCTGTCTTTCTTTCACTTGACTACTTACCTGCAGCATTGTTTGATGCACTTCTGTTATTTGTTTTTCTGAATATTCAGTTCCTGATTTTTCATTAGCAGGTTGGTCTTCTGTTTTTCCATGTTTAATTCTTGAGTTTTGTTGCTTGCTTGCTTTCACCTTCTCCATCTGCTGTAAACTGCTTAATTTTAGTATTTAAGTAGTCAGTCTGTTTTCCTCCCTCTCCCCATTTTCCGTATCCCAGCAATTTATTTACATTCGTGGTTTGCGTTTTTCTCTCTGTTGCAATAAGCTGTCTGTCTTTCTGTCCCGTCCTTCATCTTCATTCTCATCACTGTCAAACACTGGCCCTGAGTAAACTTAATTTTAGTGGTTTTTATCACGATGAAATTAGACTTTCTATGCCTCTCTTCCTTTGTGTCTTCAAAACAAAATCTCCCTATTCATCTTCCAAAACTTCTTTCACATATCCTGTTATAGTACGCTGGGAGAATATCGTACTGTTTTATTTTCTTCTAGAGGAAAAGGATGATGGAGTACTTCAGAGACCTAAACTCAGTTCTCTGCTCGATCATAAAATTCCTCTTTGACTGTGAGCAAATCGCTTAGGTCCCCATTTCTAGAATATGGTAATACTATTGCCCTATCTATAAATGTTATTGGAAGAATGAGTCCATTAAGATTCTGTATGATCCAGGTTGATAGCGAGGGAGGCTGTATAACTGTTTTAAATATATACCTTCTTATCTCACCTATACTGTATTCTTATGTCTTCATCTAAGTTGCCTTGTCACTTGGACTGTCATCAGTCATTCCTCTGCTGTATCTTTCCTTAACATTTCAGTTAGGAAATAATCTACTCTTCAGCCTTTTTTGGTAAGTGTGAGTTCAGTTTCCATGGAGAGCTTCTACATCTATGTTTCTTTACGTCCATGTTCTGCCTTCTGGTTTGAAGCATCTAACATTACACTTTTGTCAGTCCCTTCACCTGATCTTTGATAGTACTGTTTTTCTCCAATCTGTCTTTGCAGTTCTCTTTGCTTTGTACTCCACCACTTTTGTATCATCTAAATGCACTTAACCTCCACAATGCAGTTTACCCAACAGTAATTGGGACAGTATTTCCCTTGATTGTAATTTTTCATTTCAATTAGGACTACTTGTTTCTTCACACTTGCCGTCACCTCTTATCTTTCTTTTTGTTGTGTTGCTCTAGCAAGTCCTAGATTGGCTTTCTTGGCATACCCATTTTTTCTCATATTGCCTCAGAGCTGTGAAGTGCCTTAAGTAAGATTTGGAGTCTTTGTACGTATTGTAGCAACAGATGCACTCATCCTTTTCCCAGTCCTACATGTCTTCTTTAGGAGCTGCATTTACACCAGCAACTTTTACTTTCAGCTCTTACTGCTTGTTCTTAACCATTACTACTCTTTTGTGCTCTGTTCAGTGTCATCTAATTGCCAGAGCAACACTCCTTTTTACTCATTCTCCTGCTGCTCCTCTTTTTATGACATAAATTTCTTTTCTTTCACTCTTTTATTTAACTTTAAGAGGCTCTTCCTTATCGTTTCTTCTGTTGTGCTGGTAAAATTCATGTGTCTGAACTCCTCGGTTATGGGAAATGATAGTAGACTAGGTTTCTTGAATATTTCTGTGCATATAAGTCTTGAAATAGCTTGATCCATGTTTCAGATACATTGCTTGCACTGTTTAAACTTTGATGCCCTGCTTGGTTAATGAAGTTGGTTACCACTTCTTCATGTTTACTTATGTTTTCCATTACTCCTTGCATGTCCTTCCATGAATCTTCAGCTATGTAATGTTTCATCATCCACTATGCTATGTACCCCTTTTCCTCAGTCACTTTTGCTATCTACCCCTTTCCTCAGTCACCTTTGCCAAAATAATCTCTCCGGCATGCAGTCCTCTGCATTCCATACATTTGCATCATTCTCAGCCATAAGCTTCTGCCTCACCTGAATTTCATCCCTTCATTTGAACTGTTCTCATTTATGTCCTGCAAATTTACTGCAATTTAACATACCCAAATGGTCTTCTCCTACGTCTGTTTTTCTTATAGTGCCATGAGAGTTGGATTAACTAGGCTGTCTCAGTGTGTGCAACCATAGTCATAGTTGCTGCTTTATATGCTTTCTCTAGCTGGTTGATTAGCTTTCCAGTGTTATTATATCAATATAAAATGCATATTCTTTTGAGCAGCTTTTCAACCAAAAAATGTCAAGAATCTTATCACCTCTCCTTAAAACATGCTCAGCTCACGCTTTAGGATTATACTGCTGATCTTCTCTGTACATCACGTCTCTTTGTTACTGGTACCTAACTGCAGTGTACGTAAGTTAGGTGATGATACAGAGCAAAGGCCTAGCTGTATGATGAAATTTGTCTGTAAATAGGGAAAAAAGGAAAAAACTACAGGCCAGTCAGTCTCACCTCTGTGCCCGACAAGATCGTGGAGCAGATCCTCCTGGAAACTATGCTAAGGCACGTGGAAAATAAGGAGGTGATTGGTGACAGCCAACATGGCTTCGCTAAGGGCAAATTGTGCTTGACAAATTTGGTGGCCTTCTACGACAGGGTTACAGCATTGGTGGATAAGGGAGGAGCAACTGATATCATCTACCTGGACTTGTGCAAAGCATTTGACACTGTCCCGCACGACATCCTTGTCTCTAAATTGGAGAGACATGGATTTGACAGATGGACCACTCGGTGGATAAGGAATTGGCTGGATGGTCGCACTCAAGGAGTTGAGGTCAACGGCTCAATGTCCAAGTGGAGACCAGTGACGAGTGGCATTCCTCAGGGTCAGTATTGGGACCGGTGCTGTTTAACATCTTTGTTGGCGACATGGACAGTGGGATTGAGTGCACCCTCAGCAAGTTTGCCGATAACACCAAGCTGTGTGGTGCGGTCAACACACAGGAGGGAAGGGATGCCATCCAGAGGGACCTTGACAGGCTTGAGAGCTGGGCCCGTGCGAACCTCATGAAGGTCATGAGCCTCATGAACCTTCAACAAGGCCAAGTGCAAGGTCCTGCACATGGGTTGGGGCAATCCCAAGCACAAATACAGGCTGGGCGGAGAATGGATTGAGAGCAGCCCTGAGGAGAAGGACTTCGGGGTGTTGGTTGATGAGAAACTCAACATGACCCAGCAATGTGCGCTCGCAGCCCAGAAAGCCAACCGTATCCTGGGCCGCATCAAAAGAAGAGGTCGAGGGAGGTGATTCTCCCCCTCTACTCCACTCTTGTGAGACCCCACCTGGAGTCTTGCATTCAGCTCTAGAGCCCCCAGCATAAGAAGGACATGGACCTGTTGGAGCGAGTCCAGAAGAGGGCCGTGAAGATGGTCAGAGGGCTGGAGCCCCTCTCCTATGAAGACAGGCTGAGAGAGTTGGGGTTGTTCAGCCTGGAGAAGAGAAGGCTCCGGGGAGACCTTTTAGCGGCCTTCCAGTACCTGAAGGAGGCCTACAAGAAAACCGGAGAGGGATTTTTTACAGGGGCATGTAGTGATAGGACAAGGGGTAATGGCTTTAAACTGAAAGAGGGTAGATTTATATTAGATATAAGGAAGAAATTCTTCGCT